CCTCGTGTCCCAGAGGGCCACCAAAACCACCCCACGGACCACTCGACCCACCGCGGGGTCCCTCGTGTGCCCAGTGTCACCCCACGGGAGCCCAATGTGCAGTTTTGGGGTTCCCAGGTGTGTTTTTGGGGTGTTTTGGGGCATTTGGGAGGTTATTTTGGGTTATTTTAGGTGTATTTTGGGGTCCTACCAGCAGGCAGTGCACGAACTCGGGTCCCCCCACGAGGGCAGTGAAGGTCCCGAGCTGCTCCGCGAGCGCCAACAGCACCTCGTCCTCATCATAGATTGTGTCTGTAACCGATAACCAATCAATTGATCAATCACCCCTCCTGAGCAGTCGGTCACCCCAAGTCCCGCCCACCCCCATCCAACGCTGGGTTTGGGGTCCTTTGGGCCCGGTTTAGGGGGGTTTTGGCCCCCTCCCAGCCCCGGGGGTCCCCGTACCGGTGAGGAAGGGCAGGAGCTCACTGCGGGTCCTCTCCACCCCCAGCGCCAGCGCGATGGTCGAGAGCTTCTTGATGCTGTTGAGCCGCAGCTGAGGGGGGAAAAGGAGTCAGGAACTGCCTCCCCGGGTAATTAAAGGCTCCCCAGGGGTCAAAATACCCTCTCAGGGGTAACTGAAGCGCCCCCCGGGGTAATTAAAACATTCCAGGGGGAATTAAAGCCCCCCACTGGGAACGCCCCCAAGGCCATCCAGCCAATCAGGAGCCTTGTCTCACAACCCCGCAGAGCCTTTGCTAAGACAAGCACCTCCATTGGCTCCGCTTCACCCCGCCCACGCAGCTCGCCAGCCAATGGGCGGCCGCCGCCGCCTCGGCCTCGCACTCCCATTTGCCAACGTAGGGCGGAGGCGGGGTCACCAGGCGCTGCCCCGGCGCCAGGGGGCGCCACGCTGGGGAGGGGGATTCCAGGCCAATCAGAATGCGCATAACACAATTAAAGGGGCCCAGCACCCAATCAGAGCGCGCCATGCATTCCATCACCATGAAGGCGAGACATCCCCCCTGTTCCTCAGATGTAACGTCGCTCCCAATTGGCCCGTGCCTGAGGGGGGGGAAGGCCTCTGCAGCCAATCAGAGCGGCCGTCTCAGACGAGCGACGGCGGGAGGGCCCCGCGGCCGCGGAGAGACCGCGAATATCGC